TCAAGCTAGAGGGGAGAAACAGATTCTTCAATCCTAGCTTGCCAAGTAGATAATCATGTTGAGTTCTGCCAAGCCCTTTCGTTAAAATGTCTGCAATCTGCTCCTTAGTGTTGACATGCACTGTTTTGATAGATCCAGCTTTCACCTTTTCCCTAATAAAATGACAATCGATGTCTATGTGCTTTGTACGCTCATGGAATATAGGATTGGCTGCAATTTGTATTGCTGCCTTACTATCACACATCAAGGTGATTGGCCTCTTAATCTCAAAGCCCAGTTCATTGAACAAGCCGGTTAGCCACATTATCTCTGCTGCTGCTGAAGCCATGCTTCGAAATTCTGCTTCTGCTGAGCTTCTTGCAACTGTTTCTTGTTTCTTCGACTTCCAAGAAATCAAGGCATCACCATAAAATACTAGATAACCTGTAACAGACCTTCTTGTATGCAAGCATGCACCCCAATCTGCATCACAATATGCTAATAGTTGTCCATCTCCTTCTGCTGGTAGCAATGGACCTTGACCTGGAGCAGTCTTAATATACCTTACCACTCTGGTGGCAACATCTAGATGTGATTGTTTAGGAGCATGCATGAATTGACTAAGTGTTTGTACAGCATAAGAGATATCTGGTCGAGTCATTGTCAGGTACAACAGTCTGCCAACAAGCCTTTAATACACACTTGCATCTCTTAAGACAGGATCATTATCAGCAGCAGGTATTTTTGCTTTGTCAAACTCCACAGTAGTTAACTTCTAATTGACTTCTAGAGGAGTACTAGCTGGTTTTGATCCTGCTAGGCCAAGTTCAGCTATCAACTCTAAAGCATATTTTCTTTGGCTCATATATATCCCTTTAGAGGATCTTGCAAATTTAATCCCAAGAAAAAACTTCAGCTCCCCCAGGTCCTTCATCTTGAAGAATTTCTGCAAATCTGCTCTAGTTTTGTTAATCAACTTAACATCACTACCAGTGACTAACAAGTCATCTACATAGATGAGAACTAGTACTTGATTACAACCTTCTCTTTTACTAAAAAGAGAGTAATCATAGTGACTTTGTGTGAACCCCATTGTATGCAAGGCATCTGTGAGCTTAAGATTCCACTGCCTGGAAGCCTGTTTGAGTCCATATAAGGACTTGTGAAGTCTACAAACAGAAGATGATGGATACTCCCCCTGCCTTGCAGTGTTATGAGAAGAATACTCCCCCTGCCTTGCAGTGTTATGAGAAAAACCAGGAGGAATGGTCATGTACACTTCTTCCAGGAGATCACCCTGAAGGAAGGCATTATGAACATCCATTTGGTAGATAAACCAACCATGATGAGCAGCTAGGGAAATGATGGTCCTGACTGTGACCATTTTTGCTACAGGGGAAAAAGTATCTGTATAATCCAGCCCCTCTTGTTGTGTGTACCCCTTAGCCACAAGCCGGGCCTTATACCTTTCAACTTCTCCATTAGCTTTATGTTTGATCTTGAACACCCATTTGCATCCAATGGGTTTCTTCCCAGGAGGTAAAGGAACTATGCTCCAAGTGTCATTGTCTTCCAAGGCTTGAAGCTCTTGATACATTGCTGACACCCATTTAGGATCCTTAGCTGCTTCTGAGAATGAACTAGGTTTAACCTCTGCTGAATAAGCTGCAAGACATTGACTGTAGGCAGGCTTCAATGCTTGATAACTAATAGAATTAGCAACAGGATAATTGCAAGGTTTTCCAGCATTTTGGCCAACCACATAGTCATTCATCCATATAGGAGGCCTAGAAGGCCTAGTGGATTTCCTGATTCCAGCAGCTGGTAAGTCACCAGCAACAGATGAAGGAAGAACCTCAGGAAGTGGAGCTGCAGTAGTATGATGGGCAGGACTGCTTGGAAGATCATCTGGAAATGGGAGGTCATCAGGACTTATAGAACTGCCTTGAAGATCTTCAGTAATAGCAAGAGAATCATCTTGGTGTCCCAAATCAGATGATAAAGTATCTTGTGATGTGATGGAATGCTGAGGTAAAGGCAATACAAGATCATCAGAGTCAGAATATTAGGATGGAGTCATAATAGGAAAGTGTTGATCCTTCATGGAATTGTTCATGTGTTGGAGAAAAGGAAACACATCTTCCTTGAAGACAACATCCCTACTCACAAAAGGACAGTTATTGTGCAAGTCATAGAGTTTGTAACCCTTTTGCACCAATGAGTACCCTAAGAATATAGCTTGTACTGCTCTAGGTGAGAATTTGTGTTGTCTTTTAAGGTTTGCAGCATAGGCCAGGCAACCAAACACCCTGAGATGATCTAGGGTGACATTTTTGTGAAATACCAGCTAAAAAGGTGATTTACCAGACAAAATTCTGGAAGGAACTCTGTTGATCAAATAAACAGTTGTTAAAACACACTCACCCCAGAATTTTAAAGGCAATCCATCTTGGAATCTCAAGGCTCGAGCAATGTCCAAAATGTACCTATGCCTTCGTTCAACAACTCCATTTTGTTGAGGAGTGTAGGGACAGGAGCTTTGATGAACTATCCCTTCAGACTGCAATAGGGCTGTCAACTCCTTGTTAAAAAACTCTCCTCCATTATCTGTTCTTAGTGTTTTAGGGGTAGTGGAGAACTTATTTCTTAATAGTGAAATAAAGTGTCTCAAAAACTGATTCATCTTTTGTGTTCATGAAGCAGATCCATGTATACCTACTGAAATCATCAACTAGAGTCAGGAAATATCTCTTACCATCAAAAGTTGGAACCTTAAAAGGTCCCCATACATCTGCATGTATAAGGTCACCAAAGACATCACGTCTACTGTTGCTAATAGGAAAAGGTAATCTTGTTTGCTTTGCTAAAGGACATACTGGGCAATGCTCATTACAATCAACAAATGTCTTGTTGTGAAAAGCTGGTAATCTCTTTAAAGCATCTAAAGGAATGTGACCTAACCTTTTATGCCACAAAGACCCACTTATTCTATTTATTACTAAAGCAGAAGTAATAACACCAATTGGCAACTTGAGATCTGATTTTTGCTCGAGATCCAACACATAGAGTCCTTCCTCCAGCTTACCAATCCCCTTCACCTTCCCATTGCAAATGTCCTGGAAGACACACCAAGCAGGAAGAAGGCAATGAAGCATCCAATGTCCCTTGTAAGTTGTGAAACAGATAGTAAATTATACCTAAACTGTGGCACATACAGGACATTTTTATTGGTAAACCATTAAGAATACTAGAAGATCCTAGGTGTGTAATCCTACTAGTTTCACCAGTTGGCAGCTGCACTTTCCTGCCTTCTCCTTTAGGCATCTCCATAAAATCAGTAAAGAAATCCAAACTAGATACCATATGGTTAGTGGCACCTGAGTCTATGATCCATCTATCCTTCTTAGCTTTGCTTAGGAGTGATAATGGTATACCTGTGACCTTGGCATGTGCTGCTGTTTCAACATGTGTTGTATTCTGGCTCAGTAGTTGAAGTGGTTGTTTATACTGCTCCTCTGTGAAGAAGTTCCCTGTAGTTGCTATCCTAGAACTAGAACTTCCTTGGTCTGTTGATCCATTTGAATGATCAATCTGTGCATTGTGTGCTGCTGCCATGTTTCTTCCAAAGGTCTTTTTCTTTGGCTTAAAGTCAGGTGGATAACCTACCAACTTATAACAAACATCTTTAGTGTGTCCTTTAAATTTGCAATAATCACAGAATACCTGAGCTTTCTGCTTGTAGCCACCAGAAAAACCTTGTCCTGAGTTGTGTGCCATAACTGCTGCTCCTATCTCCAAGCCACTAATATTCATTGTCTTTGCTCGTTGACTCTCATCCTGAACTACCATCCGATAGGCCTCATTGATAGTAGGTGTAGGAATCATAAGCATGATTTGGCCCTTTGCTTGGGCAAATGACTCGTTCAGTCCACTTAAAAATTGCACCAAACGCTGCTGTTGAATGTGCTCTAGAAACACCTTCGACTCTGGACATGGACATGATGGAGTGGGGGTCATAGCATCATACTCATCCCACAGATCCTTGAGCTTAGAATAGTAAGTTGATACAGGTAATAATCCTTGCTTTAAAGCACCAATTTCCTGAAGTAAATTGTAGATCCGCGATATGTTCCTCTTATCAAATCTCTCCTTCAAATCCTTCCACACATTGTGTGCAGAGGATCCATAAACCACACTACTATATAACTCTTTTGTTACTGCATTCATAATCCACGATAAAACAAAAGCATTGCACGTTTTCCATTGACCATGAAGATTTGTCCCAAAATTTTCCTTGCGACAAGTACCGTCAATAAATACGATTTTGTTCTTCGTAAAAAGTCCAATTCTCATGGATCAACACCACAAATTGTAATTTTCAGTGCCTAACAGTTTGAAATCAATCAGATGTTCACCTGGCGAATCCGAAGGTCGCAAATACAGAGGATGATTGTGACTTAGCACTGCATCTCCATTCGTTGCTTCTTCAATCTCCATTATACTCTGAGTTGAGAAGAAAATAACAAACCCTAGCTCTGAAATTGAGTGTGTCGATGGATAAGAACACTGAATCGGAGGTCGAAACCAGTCGCCGGAGCTCAATCGGAATGCTCTGATACCATAATGAGCAGTTAACTAACAAGAGTAAGAGTGCATGCAAGTAATTGGATGGTTCTAGAAGAACATATGAAGAAGAGAGAGATGAGCTCAAAGTGGAACCATTTTCATATAACTGTGAAGAAGAATGAACAAATCTGTTCTAAATGAAGAAGCTAACCTATATATACAGTGATAACTAACCCGACTAATTTGAGATTAAATTACAAGTTTCTATTTTTACACATTAACCCCTAAACTAATGTATCATCTATGTTGGTTCAATACAATATATCACTGTCTAGACCAGCTGGTATAACAACAAAAAGAGACTAATAAGCTAGGGTTCTGGATTTCCTTTTCCAGTTCCAGGTATATACATGTACACACACATCATTATTATGCGAAAAAAGAAAATACGGATATTAGAAACACATCACTTTCGTAAAGAGAAAGGGTGAAATATCACTTGCATTATATGGTAATCCATAAGCAATAAATTGAAGTCAATCTAGTGCAAACTAAATAACAATATTCTAAGCTAACTTTGCCATGTTTTATTATGATTTTGAAACTGATCTTCATTTTCACTAGAAGTAGTATTAACTAGACCAGCTATATTGAAAATGTCGCTATGAGAGAGAGGTCTTAGACCCAAGAAATCCTTGGTCATAATATCCTCATTAATGCCACTGGTTGTTTCTGAGAATGTAGCTCCGTTGAAGTCATTATCTTTCTTTGAATTCAAACTACCAAACCCACCAAATGCATCTTCAAACGTTGACCCTTCAAACCCAGTAGCATTAGTAAAAGAAAAAGATGGTACTGTAGCTGCAGCAACTTTATTCCCGTATGAATTGCCTAAGGTATTAATAAGGCCAGTACTATTTGTCAGCTCAAATTCACGTGAGGACAAATTGAGTTCAAACTGATCAGTTTGTTTGCTACCTGCAGCTGCTGCAGAATCAGTAGTAACAGACACGTGAGTTTGGTGGGGTAATTGTCTCATCAGAATGGCAGCTGGGCCTGTACTGTGTGCAGGAGATGATGCAGAGACAGCATTTGCTTTGTTACTCATTGTAGCACCCAATTCAGCTGCTTTCTGCAGCAATGCAGTCGCAGAAATGTGTGGAGAGACCGCTGCTTCTCCTGTTGAATGGTAAGGTGGTGCTAGTGACGTAACTCGCCCTGTTGAATACATAATTAAATAAATAAAAGTGTGCATTTTGTTGGATAACAAAATAAAAGTGTACTCTAACTTATAAATTTGGATGAATTTATCAAACTGAAACACAACACAACATGATATCCAAACAACACAACATGATATCCAAATATATACTAGTTCAAATGTCAACACCACCTAAAAGAAATTCCACAGGTTTGGTCCATATAAAAGAGATCCTTAGTTATTTTTGACTCTTTTTTTAAATTCAAAAACAGTAAGCGATTCCATAAGGGATTTCTGAAGTAAGTTGTTTATCTTATTATGTTATTATTTGTGTTGACATAATATAATTAAGCAATTAAAAATGTGATATCTCGAACAGTATAAGCATTTATATGAGATGATCAAACAGTTAATTACCTCCAAAATTAGGGTTTGGGTTCTCATGGAAATCAGTTGACGTCAAATCTTGGTGGCTCTGCGTGTATTCGTGATCAAACCTAGTGGCTTGAAATACTGATGAGCTAAAGTCAGCAGGTACTGATGAGGGCGGGCCAGGACCAGCTCCAACAAATGGTTGGCAAGACACTAGCCATTGAGGAATTTCAGTATTATGTCTTAGATGATTGAAATCATAATTTGACTGCTCCTTCTTCATAGAAAATGCCGCAGCAGCTGGGAATTCATGGCTGTTATTAAAATACTGGGGCGTTTGAAACTGGAGCTGATTCATATGAGATGTTGAAGTACTACCAGCTGCTTGGGATGAGAAACTAATTATTGGATTTACTCCAGTTATTGCTGATCTTGCACTCTCAGCAGCTAAAGTATCGCAAAAAGCTCTGTGTGTGATGAAACTATCCCGTCTGAAATAGTAATAAACAAGAAAAAAGGATGATAAAAAATTAAGTGCTGAAATTACAAAAATACACAAACTTACATACCCCTAAAAATATTGGCACTAATGACCAATAGTTGGTGTTATTAGTTAGTTTTGTCCTTTTATGGAAATGGGTGGAAATATGATACTGATATATTATACTATGATTAATCATTCCACAGAATCCACACCACAATAATCGATTATCACTTTACTCACCTAGGCTAGGCACTTAGACCCCAAATAATCAAAAAAAAAAAAAAAAAAGAGATAAGAATTACAAAAAGTAGAAAGAAAAGAGACTAATAAGGGTTTTAGTAGAGTGGTAACTACTTTGTCATTCTTGAATTTGAGCCCCTGAGTATATATGAAGTCGACTTTGATAGGTAGTACTTTAGCCCGGCGCAAATTCACATTTAATGGGTCCAATACATTTACCATACACCAAATAATAATAAATAAATAAAAAGTAGAAAGAAGAAGATGGACTCGTATTCATACTTCTGTAGCAAAAAATAATTATGTTTATTTTTGTTGGTTAATTACCTTGAAAAAAGGGTACCACATTCACATCTGTATTCTCTAGTGCCACAGGTTTTGGAGTGAGCTTTGCAATCAGATTGAACAGCATAACGCTTTGAACATTTCTCACATTTCCATTTTTTCTCACCATGCTTTCTGCTAAAGTGTTTCTTGATTCCAGTTAAGTCACCTAATGCCCTGGAGGAATCATGGTGCACACAACTGGGCTCTGGACAAACATAAACCTTTTTTATTACTTCTTTATTTGTTCTCTGCTTTAGTTTCCATGGCAAATTGTGTCCTCTTCTATGGAGTTGCAGATTCTGATCTCTTTTAAACCCTTTGTTGCAGATTTCACAAAAGAATCTATTGGTTGCCAGTAGTGTCTTTGGTGACAAAGCTATCACTTCTGCTTCAGGATCTGTTAAAAAAAACAAAAAAATTGACGACTTTGTGTTGAGATACTTGAAGTTTATAAGGTGGTAACACAGTTCAACATAGAAAAATCTTGAGTTTAAATGGACTTTGTACAGTTGGTTAAACTTTTACATTAAAAACAGAGAGTTTAGTGTGTACGCAGACGTTACCCTAATTAGTAAGGTAGACTGATAATTTATAGTACAATATATTCAAGAGTTTGAACGCCAAAATAAATTGAATTGTGAAAAACAAGTTAAGTTTTAATTTGATAAAGATTGATGAAGACCTGGATTGCCTGCTTGGTTTCTCTTTTTCTTGATTTGTTGTTGTGGTGGATTTTGATTCTGAGGAATGAAAATGCCTCCAGTAGTAGTATCATTCATGTTGTTGGAAGAAGATAAACTTGCTTCACCAGATGCAGAAGTTAAATTGGACATATTTTCCTCCACATGAAAATTTTGTTGCTTTTGTTGAATATTCATCATCTAGTTAGCTAGCTAAAGAAGCAAAGGCTTTTTTGCATAAAACTAAAAAAGAACCATATGAATGAAAACAAGAAAAGGAGAAAAGATTTAAGAGAGAGAGGTGTGGATGAGAAGAGGATATCAACTCTATAATCCTCTCTCTCTCTCTCTCTCTCCACAAGATGGAATTAGACCACTCCAGCGAGCTACTGCTAAGTCTGACGTGCAATTTCTGTCTTTTCTTTTGTTCTCTTCCCTACCCACAAATATCTCATCTTTCTTTATCCTATAGTAGTAGTACTATTTTGCCTTTTAACAATATTCATACTTTTATTTTAAAAAGAAAAGAACTTTTGCCTAATTGCACCAACTTTTGCATTCACTCAAAAAGTAGCTCAAAAAAAATCAATCAACATATAGATCTAAAAAGAGAGTTTGATTTGTATTTGAAGAGTATTGTTGAAAGAGAGTGAGAGAAAGAGAAGGAAAGAGAGATGGAGACGTTGAATTGCATGTATATAGTATAGTACCATCATGGCATCATTCATTGGTACGAGTAGACCCCTCTCTTCTACTAATTACAACTTTATCTATTTACCATGACATGATTTAGTCATTGATTAATTCCCTAACAAACATGCATGGTCCCCTCAAAATTATTCCGTGCGTTCCAATTTATGTGAAGGTGTTTGACTGGCACAAAATTTAAAAAATAAAGAAAGATTTCTGTAATTTGTTGTTTAAAACAAATTATAGAAAGTTGTGTGGGTTATCTCGTCAAAAAAAATTGAAAGTTGAATTATTATTAATATAAAATAATATTATTCTTTTCGGGACTTACTAAAAAAAGTGCCACATCAATTGAGAGGTAAGGAGTGCTATTTAAAAATATCCTTCTTTTATCATTCAACCATATAATTCCCTTTCCTTTCATTTCATTTCATTTCGTTAATCATTCGACCTTATCTTTTGTTAAGACAAAAACCCGTGCAGAAATTTCTGACATTTGTGCACTCCTTTCTATATTTAATGGTGAGAGAGAGATGACTCTTACAAAACTTTCCCCAGCTGGGGTAAAAGGGGTGAAAGGCCATCTAGCTAAGAGAGTAAAGACGTAAACTTACAAGTTTATATACTCCCTCCGTTCACTTTTACTTAGCATATTTTGACTTTTCACACCCCTTAAAAAATAATAAATGAAGTGTATAATTTACTATGATACCCATATTAATTGAAGTATATTTTATTAGATTTGAGAAAATAATTTGATATGAGTAATAAATATTTTGGGTATAACAGGAAAAAGAATTTGTCTTCTCTTGATATGCGTAAAGTGACAAGTAAAATTAAAAATCTACTTTTAATATACATGTCAAGTAAAAGTGAACGGATGGAGTACTTCTTTTCTTATTAGCCCGTGCCAAAAAGTATGATTTCTTTTCATATTTGGAAACAATTTACCTTTATGCAATGATTTATAACCATACAAAATATGTCTCATTTTATTACACCACAAGTTCAAAAATCTTTTTTTTTTTTAAATTCCGTACCCAATCAAATATGTTTATATAATTAAAATAGAGGGGTATTTAATAATGCCATGCATGTCTTCTTCTAGATTTCAAATCAATACGCGCGGGGATATATAGTTATTCAATTTAAGAATTTGATGATCAAATTGACTTTACTTGATTTCAATCCTGCTACTTTCTCAACATAAAAAGGGCAAGATAAATCTTGCAACTACAATCCTGTAATTAAACTTGATATAATATGTGACTATTTGTCACTTTAAACTCTTACTGTATTTTCGCTTCAACCCTGCAGTAGAAATGTTGTTGATAAACAATTCGATCAAATTATTGTCTTCTATTGATTTCTTTAATTGCATTAGAAACCCCATTTTTTATATGGAATATCATTTTCAAACGATAGACAATTAATTGCAATAGCACTTTTTGAGTTTTTCATGATTATCTCTTCGAAAGCCAACAAAAGGAAAAAAGATGTGGCGGCTAAATATGGAAAAACAAGGTCTCTGCATTGACCATGTCATGAACAATATTCCTTCCATATATAAGTGAAAATTCATCATACTGCAAAAAGTAAAAGCAGTGGCAAATGTATATGGGCAACATATATTATACAAATGCACAATGTGTATAGGCCAAAAATTATTTTAGTTATGATTAAACCATCTCAGTATTAAGAAGGCCTTCAAGGTCTGTCACATGTTACCAGTATGACTTCGACAAAAGGCATGCTCAAGGTCAAAGTGATCTCACAAGAGATGAAGGGCGGGGTCGAGGAGTCAACATAGATCAAGGTCGAGGATGAGCACTCGTCTTAAACAGAATAATAACGGCTAGTATTAGGATAAGACTCTAAAGAGAATATTCTAGTAGATATATATTCTCTGTATCTATACTATTAGGGTTTTTTTGGCACATGTTCCCTTATAAATAGAAATAGACATAGTTATAGGGGACATGGTATACTCATTTGTAAGACAATACATTGACATTCTCTGAAAGATCTTGCTTTAATTTATTACACACATACAAAATATACTTTTTTCTTTAGATTCTTGTCTAACTTTTCCCCACGATCCAAGAAGAATCCGAATATTCAAAGGCTCATCAATCATTCATCATTCTTAGAAAGAATACTAAAGAATCTTACCCTTTTCGGGTGACTCACATGCTTTTATTTACTTAAACGACATTCATCGCTATTTATTATATTTAATGCTACCTTCTTCGTTCTTGGATCATTAAATAATAAGAAAGAATTACAAGAAAATACACATGACTTCACACCATAACAAAAAATGGCCCATGTTTTTAAGTTTTACCCCACCTAGCCCACATTGTACATATTTTGAAAACACTTGCAAATTCAAAATATATGTTTTTACAACAATTGCTTCTAAAAGCTATGGAGTTAATTCTTTGTTCTCACAACTATTGCTTTCACTCTCTCTTCTTCTCACATCTTTTTACATATGCTTCAAAGAACCGTGTATTTTCTGCTTCTCCTCTTGTGTCACTTGCTTGCAATGAAAGAAAATTGAAGAGTAGAAGTCCACCATTGAAGATCATTCAAAGCTTTGCTTTTGAAAATGGGTTGTTTTGAATTTGTTAGTTGTTTTGATTGGGTATTGTTCCAATTGATCGAAAATATCAAAAGGAGTGCAAAATTTAAATTTGAAGTGATTTGGAGTAGATTTGAGCAAGATTTGAATTAAATTTCAGAAAAGACGCAAGAAAGAAGACGAAGTCAGTTTTTTGTATAATTATGTATAATCTTGTATAATATTGTATATGAGTGTAGAAACACACCTTATACACTGTTATACACTTTTATACACCTTTATACAAGCATCTGTAGACGAACTTCTTCCACGATTTTCAGTTGCAATTCTTATTCAAAACCAGTCCAAATCTCCATTAAATGACTTCAAATTTTATATACAACCTCCTTCTACTATTTCTAACAAGTCTAAATAACACCCACTCCAAATTTCTCATAAAATCAAATTCGAAATTTAAACACACATATTTAAGCTTGTTAAAAATCTAATTTTCACCATCCAAATGAAGTTGGTTTGTTGAATTAATATTTGAGCCACAACTACTGATTCGAAAAGTAATTTAAAAGCTTGAGGAATCTTTTTTAAAAATTAAATAGTAATTTTGAGAACCTATTGGAGTTGGATGTTGAATCTTAGCCTATTATTTATGGGCTAGTTGGTTGTAAATTGAAATATAGGCTATAAAATTGAAAAGTATGGAGCCAAGTTGTTCTAATGTGAAATTTTCCCTTAAATATAATAGTAGTGTCACCATTTATTGCTGTGGTAGATTATACTAGTACTATTTCCCCCCCAAAATATGATTAATACATCTTTTTGATATTACTATTGCCTAAGACTAACTCTACTCTATAGAAAATTTAATTATTTAAACAACAACAATAACGGCCCAGTGTAGTCCCAGGGGTCTGGGGAGGGTAATGTGTAGGCAGATCTTACCCCTACCCCGAGGGCAGAGAGGCTATTACCAGGAGACCCTCGGCTCAAGAAAACGACAAGAGACGATATATTAGTACCATCAATAGAGTCATAATAAAATAATGACCTAGATTTAAATTTTGAGTCAAACACAAGGTATAACGGTGATATATTTATAAATATGATCAATTTGAGAGAGAGAGAGAGATTGTCTAATTAATCATGTGGTGTTAATATTATTATGAATTTATATAAGTATATGTTTTACGAGGGAAAAGAAGGATAAAGAAAAGTAGGAAAAATAATGGTATTCGGTTTGTCTTTATTCCACAATGATTTTAGTTTGGGAAATGGGCCAACACACTGTCTCTAACATGCACTCCAAGTAATTTAGAAATCATTCTGGTAAAAGAAATTGTTTCGCAATATGATTAAAAAAACATGAGCAATGAGGAAAAGCTCCAAATTTCAATGTGTATGCTATGAGAAAGTTATTGGTTTTTATTTTATTTTTTTGTCTGAAGATTTATATTGGATCTTGAGAGTTCCTATTAGTACTAATGTAGGATAAATCTGCAGCAAGTTCACGAGGAGGCAAAGGAAAAAGCAGTGGGTCCAATAACAAAATGATTCAGGATCGGACCTACCAAATCAAAATATCAATATATATATATATATATATATATATATATATATATATATATGTCTATGGATCGGGCTGCATGCCGTAGCGATACTTACATGGATATATAGTCGACTGCGCTCACTAGGGGTGTGCAGACTCCGGAGGGGCTCCTACAGCCCAATCGCTATATCGCTGCGGTGTGCAGCCCGATCCAACACATCGCTGCGGCGCACAGCCCGATCCATGATCCATGTNAGTAATGCAAAAGAATTCACAACAAATCTCACCACACATGGCACATGCAAACTCGAGTGACATATAAATCCAAAATCCAACTAAAACCAATGAACCCGAAGAAAATCACATATAGCCCGAAAGACTATTTAATAAATCAAAGAGCCAAAAATAGAACCTAAAAGTCACAACAAGAATTATCACTTCAATTTTAAAGATCAAAACTTCATATGCCAAAGTTTAAATTATGTTGGTACCAAACAAGCCACATATTGGTTTATGAACACAAGATTACACCCATTAACCACTTTATTCACAACTAGCTACTAATAAACTAATAATATATATATATATATATATATATATATATATATATATATATATATATCAAGTGCTAGATGGTGTGTTAAATTGAGGAAATTAG